AACCCTCCCCAGTTGCGTGACATCCAAAAAGCGAACAGCAGGACACCGGCTGCAGCGCGGCAATGCACATCGAGGCGCGAGAAATCGGCAATTGGTGTGCGCAGCTCTGCTTGGCGGTTGTAGCGTGTTGACCTAACAAGGTTTTGATGTTGACTTTGAGTCTAAACGGGTTCTTAATCAATCCCTGAGTTCCACCTTTTGTCTTAAGCAATAAGTTTGGGACCTTTTTTTGTTGGCAATCCACGGAAGTGCCATCCTAATTTTCGAGTTCCGACATTGCAAGGGGATGTATTTGATTTCAGCGCCCACCAAGTTCAATGGAGCTCAGTGGGCTGGAGAGATGCCACGAGGTTTGCACGGAGAATGCGCCGTGATTGTCTTAAATGGGTTCAGCCTTGTTCGGGCCACAGCCAGCAGTAGTTCCTTTTCTCCACCTCGTTTGCGCATGGAATCAACTTGCAGCCATTGACAGGTCCGGTGCTGGCTTGCTTTGTCCAGAAATCCGGTGCTGCCAGCCGGCCAACCAAAACCCGATGTACTTCAAACGAACCAAACGAGGATCTAGCTCTTTAAAAAAGGCAAAGTTTAACACATCACCTGAGTCCAACAACTAGTCACAAGTCAGCCGACCGGTAGCTCAAGTTCCCCCCCCTTTGCTGTAAGAGCCACGGCGAGTCGTCCGCCCACGCGAGTCCGCGAGTCAGGCCAACGTGGAGGACAGGAACCGCACGGCGCCGTTTCCCTTCTGCGGGAATCGCTTCGAGTTCCGGGCCGTCGGCTCTTCCCAGAACTGCTTCTCGCGCCAAAAAAAGCCCGCGGCACCGGACCGTTTTCCGCCCCCCCTCGGATGGGTTATCTCTAAGAGGATATTTGTTTCTGTCCGGTGGTCATTAAGGGGAATGCACCGCTTGTTTGTTTGATCCACCCATCAATCATCAATCAATTTGCAAAGCAGTTCCAAGAAGGTGAAACATAGATGGTGTTACAAACAGCTTGGTGTTTGTAACATGTACACAGATTTGTTCAGGCCCTGGTTCTGTGCTTGGCACGGGCAGGTGGCACCTTCCCACCTTCTCCCCCCCCCAAAACAAGAAGAGTCTAGGATGTTGATTACGACTTTCCGGTGGCTGGAGTGCTGAGGGATTGTCAAGGTCAGAAACTGGGCTTCTCAGACAACGGGGTGCTTGGCAGGTAACTTTGAGCAGGCTGCGCAATGGCAGGTCTTTGGTGGATCATCCTGAAGGTGATCAATGGCTTCCTTCGAGTTCCAAAGGTTTTTCTCCTAGGCCCTGAAATCGGATGGCTAAGGAACATGGGAAAATGGCACTAGGAAACGCTACGCGAAGTCAGGAAACCAGGGTCAATGGATCGGGCCAAAGATCAGCCTTCTCCCAAGAATCATGGAAGGGAGATGCCTTTTGCAGGAGCATGGTACTGAAACTCTATGGTACTCAACCCTCCTGTCTTTCTACACCCAAACGGAATCGGCCCACGGAATCTGAAAAAAGAAACCGAAGGCTGCCTGCCCATCATGGTCTGCAACGCCATCATGGCGCAGGGCATGGCGCATCTGGCAGGACCGGGCGAGGCTCTCTTTTTTTTTCCGCTGCGTGCCCCATGTGGCTGTGGTTGTCAAAACCAATGGGATCCCATTCTCGGGTTTTTGGTGCACCAGGGGTAGGTGAATTCACCACCCATTTTAGAACCTATTTTAGTGGGGATTGGGATTGACCCATGGCCATGTGCCGGTCGTTTGAGTAGGTTGTTACTTGGGGTGAAACAAAAGCCACCTGCTTGGCTTGGGGAAAACGCGGGACCATGGTCGAACCCGCCTTATTGGGGGTGCCTCCTGAATCAGGATTCCAGACAACCAAAGGGTTCTCGAGGAAACCATAACCATGGTTCAATCAGGTCGCAATCAGGTTTGAACAAGTGGTTGGAGATGTTGTTTCGGCACATTCCTTGGGTCTAAGAGAAGCGGAAATGCAAGCAAGAGGTCTCCTCACCGGGTAACGAGAACAGGACTATGGCGCGGTGTTCCGCATTCAAGAACCATGAAACCCAGAGGGCAAGAGGCAAGATCCACAGAGTGGGCTCTCCCTGGTGGAGAGTTGGAATCTGTCCAAGCAACTGAAAGCTTGACACGATCGAGGTCATGTTCTGAGAAGTGTAGTACTGTTAATGAAATGCACGATGAGAAGCTCAGAGAGGATTTGGAGCCAAGCTGGTGAGCCTTTGTTGAAGGCCCCCCCGAAAGCGGTGGCTCGTGCGTTCACTGCAACTGAAGCGCCGGAGTTGGGAGTTGTTGCTTTGGTGGCAAGGGGCTTTTCACTGAGCCAGACACAAAGGGTGGCTTGGGAGCAAGGGGACAGCTCAGATGTTTGGGTTGTGGACTGAAGTTCCGCTTGGTGGGGGGACGATTACAGGGACAACGTAAGGAACCTTGTTGAGGGGCGTTTGACATCCCCAAGCTTGAGTCTTGTTGAATGCTCAACTGTCGCCTCGGGACAGCGGCAGCAGTGTGTTCAGTGCAGCTGAGATGTCCTCAACCTTGAGATTGCAGTGGCCCCGCACCAGTATTGTACCCCTGCCAAAGTCGCCTCTCTTGCTTCTTAGATTCTTGCGCTCGCTTACAGTGCCAAAGAACTGCAGAAAAGCATTTCTTACGAGGGATGCCCACACGGAAAAGGACAGTTTTTGGACCTCTTCTAGTCGTATTTCAGTTGCCTGCCCGGGGGCCGCTTTCCGCGTCAGGACTCATCGAAGGTGGGATGAGCCACCGCGATGCTGTGGCACAAGTGTACAAGGACCGCAGAGATTCCATTTACGAACTGTGGGCTTGCGCACCTCCATGGGAGGGATACACCAAGCCCAGGAGTTTTATGGTGAAACATGTCTGGAGGGTCGGCGGATTTGTGAAGAGTGGCACGCATGGAATGACCTCGTGAAGCTCAGTTGCGCACAGCTTGCTTGGCAGGCACGGACGGGTTCATGAGGTCGACGGCACGCGAGACCATACATCGGGGGACACCCCACCAATCAAGGGAGGATCTGTTTATTTGCGTCAGCTTGGCCAAGTTGTCCTTGTTTGCATTGCAGGGTCCTCCCAGTTCTGCGCGCTTCGGAGAATCCTGTGAGGGTTTTGGCAATAATCGCCAGAATGGGACGCTGTGAGTAGCACGCTGTTGAGTTCAGATCAAAACTTACCACTCAGTTCCCTCTCGCTTGTTTCGCATGAGTTTGGGTTCAGGAGAATAAGCACGTGATCTTCACTGGCAACGGCTACTCTGCCGAGTGGCCTGTAGAAGCAGCCAAGAGGGGTCTGCCCAATCTTAACACCACGCCCAAGGCGGTGGCCACTTGGAAGCTTGGTCACAACTTGGCGGTTCCCAGCCGTACCCTTACAGTTTGATTGTAAGCGCTGCGTGCTGCCCGCCTAGGCCAGGCTGAAAAGAACCAAAGAGCAAAGAGCAATGTTCGAGCAAATGATGCCGGATGCGCTGAGCAGTCTGCAAAGTGATTCCCAGGAATTTGAGCTCAAGCGGCGGGGCAGCCAACGGTGGCTGGAATGAGCTGGGCTCGGGAGCTGGGGCTGCCGAAAGACTGCTGAGCTGGGTGACAATGGTCACGCTTGACTTAGGCAAAGCTGGCGGACTTATGTTTTGGGCTTGAGACTGGGACTGATAGACTGAGATGCTGCGGGGGCGCTGAGGGTGAATTGCCTTGAGGGCTCAGGCTACAGACGATCATGTCTGGTGCGTGAGACTGGCTGAAAGGCTGGAGTAACTTGCTTTGCGGCTGAGTCTGGGCAAAAGAGTAGGATGCGATCCCTCTGACTAAATAGGGATTTGACCGCTTGGGCCGACGCGAATATTGTTTGAGTTGAGATTGATGTATCGCGTGTCCCACTTAAAGATTGGAGTTCTGCAAGGGATCAACGAAACGCTAAGACAAGGTGCCCAGTTCGCTTGGATGTACTTGGCAGTCACACAGGTGCGACTTGGAACCTTGAACCCCACTTCTGGGTTGGGGGGGGACTGAATTCCCCAAGTCACACGGTGGGGGTCCAATGACTTACTGCCTTAGATCCAACAATGAAGGTTCAGCCTCCCTCCAAAGTCATATTTGGGTTCTGGAGGTGGTCCGCGCGAAAGCAAATTTTGTTTCTCCGGTTAACAATAAAAGCCTGGGACCTTGGCTTACGAATCACTTTGTCAGATCTCAAGCAATCTACATAGTCCGCCTCAAACCGGTTCCCCCTTCTTCGATGCATTTGAAGGGACCTTTTCCAGGTTTGAGACACACGTGATGCATGCAGCTGCAGATTGTGAGCCACGGCCTTTGATCCAGACATGTTGGTTCCCGGCGCGACGTGTGACAGTTGTGTTTCAGCACGGGCTGTTGCTATGTTGGACAGTTTACTCTCTGAGAAGTTTAGCTCCAACAGAACGCTGCCAATGGGTGAGTGTTCTTCTTATTGACTAGTTGCATTACAGTCGCCAGCAGGCGGAATCGAGCTTTGGTGTTGGTCCGGACGGTGTCGTATGTGGCCGTTGCTTTTGAGGTTACCGGGCTGGTGTAGGGCAACCCACCAGGAAAGCCACCAGTTTGGAGGCCCAGTTGAGACACAACCCCTTCGCTGCGGTTGTTTCCCGTTAACTCCAGAGGGGTGACTTTGACAATGGTAAGGTACTGGGGCCTGTTCCATCATGATCCATTCCAGATGGTTTCCTTGAGAACTCTGGACGGGACGTTTTGGTGGTGTTCCTGAATTTACATTGCAAGCATATAAGCTTCAACATGTCTCATCACGTTGTGGAGCCCTTGTGACCTCTTCAATTACGAGAGCCTCAAATTGTATGCCTTGACCTAGGAAATCAGACAAGAACATCAAGCTGTTCGAGGATCTGAAGATTTACACCGCAGAAGAGACAGAAGCACGCCAAGAGGTCATGTATGAGAACTACATCTCTTGCCTTTGCTGCTCGAGTCAAGATTAGTCTGACAGACCCTATGTATGGGTCCTGGTACCTGGCAAGGAGGTACGTCCACCCTTTTGAACCAAATCATCCTCAAAGGGTATTTGGACCCTCTGACAGGCAATCTGGAACTTGCGCAGTGAACAGGCAAGCCGCTTCTTGTTGTTACTTCTATAATATGTGAGCTGGAAAGCTATGTGCGATTTCACTTGTTTCAGTCCGGCGCGCACGCGCGCAGACACAGACACAGACACAGACACAAACACACAGACACAGAGAGAGAGAGAGCACTCTTATAGTGTGAGACGTAGGGTCAAGCTGTCCTTTTATCTTGTCCCACATGTCAACATTGGACCATGGTGGAAGTCATCCCATCACTTTTCGTGGCTGCCAGTGGTCACTTTGAGGCTGCGAGGTAGAGACGATGGTGCAGATGACGGAGACCGGCATTTTGCCCGCCTGCGCCAAGGAGCTTGGGCGGACGTGGCGCAGGAATGTTAATGATGCAAGTCCAAGGCCAAGCAAGTTCGGGAGGTGTTTGAGTTCGACAGCGCTGGTTTTCTAGATTCCTACCTGATTGTAAGGGCGAATGAAACACAGATGGAAGTCTCAAGAGATTCCCAAGAATTGTAGATGGTGTTGGACATTTGCTTGGGGCCGTGGTAAAAATTGGACTCCGGGTTCCTGTAAGACCAGTTGTTCAAAGCCGACCCTGTGACCTTTTGGTTTCCCCCTTTTTTGGTCCATTCGTTCGCCATGGCACCAAAAGGTTTACCTTTTATTTCTGGGTCCTTTGAGCAACTGAGTTTCAGACCATCCCAAAGGCCAAAACGCAGGACCTTGACAAGTTCAAGGGCAGCGAGGCGCTTGGCTCCAGCCGGAAGTCCCTCTACGAGGGGATCGTGGATCAGTTGGAGAAGCTGAAGGCTGCGTTGAATCTATGTTCAGATGAAGCAAATCGGCTTATCAGCCAAAAAGGACGATTTTGAGCCAACAACACCAGCTAGCAGCCAACAAAACGCGCTTATCAGCCAACGACGCCATAACAATCGCAGCAGCTGCGGTTGGGGGAATATGGCTAGCATAAAGGCATGGTTATGATCTAGTTGCCAAGGTGGTTGAACATCCAAGTAGTGACCCATGATTGCAATGTGCCCGAGAGTCGCTTTTCTTCACCCTGCAATATCGGCAGTGTAACGGATGTGTTAGTGAAGACAAAGTGCCTGATTCCCATCTCGACTCTTGCTGCTAGCTGCCACAGAAAGGTGATTTCCAAGTTGGTTGCTTAGACACAACCCCCACTAATATGCGGCGAGGATTTTAGCACGCTCAATTGCATAGCGTAAAGTGGTTATCCATTGTGGAATACGTATCAAACAATTGTCATAATTCGCAGCATGCACAAAGTTGGTAGTGACATGCTGGTGACATTTGGGATGGAGACAACGCACCCGATTTGTCGCAAGTTCATCTACTGTTGGTTTCAGAATTATGAGGCTACATGTTTTGATTGATGTAGGGGCGTGCCGCTACCAAAGTTGGCTACCATAACGTGGTAGCTGGTTACTTGGAGGGTTGAATCACAGTCAAAGCTGGATCAACCAGGCAGGTAGCCATCCAACCAAAACACAACAACACAACAACTTGCAACACAAGAGCACAACAAAGACCTCAAGCAAGTAAGCAAGCCAAGAACACAATCCAGCAGACGAAGACACGGACAAATTGATTGAATGTTTTGGTTGCGGGGCTCGCAATGCGGGTTCGAAGCGCAGGCAATGTACCTCTCCAAGCCCCATAGCTCTCTCGCGGAGGAAGCCGTTTACCTTTGCGACACCATCAAGCCTGGGCCCCAGTTGCAGCGTTTGTCAACTGCAGCGAATTTGAAAGGGCGACTCCCAAATGTTCGGTTTCCTTGGTCGCCCAATCACCATCCAGGACCCCAATTTATTGGACATCCCCGAACGTCATGACTCCATTTCTCAATTTTGCTCAAGGGGAAACCCCCGCAAGCGCTCAAATCAGGACTCGTGTGCACTTGCTTATTTACACGCTGACGCGACACAGCCGGCCACCGGGCACCTTGCCCTGCCCGTTCTGTCACTTCCCTTTCCTGTAAGTCCGATTAGTAGATGTTAAGAGTTTAAAATTCCAAAAAACTTTGAGATTCTAAGGGACTCAGATTTGAAGACTTTCGGAATTTAAGGTTTCAATGGTTTAAGAATTAAGGTTTTAAGATTCAAAGATTTAAGGTTTTTCATATAACAGCCAGGCCATTGCCCAGCCATTTTCCATCCAGTATCAGATTTCGAAGGCTTTAAGATTTTATGTTTGTGAGATTTTCAGATTTGGCGACTTTCGTAATTTAAGATTTTAATATCTTAAGATGTCAAGACTTCAAAATTTCAAGATTAAGAGTTTAAGGAATTTCAAATATAGCCCGGATTGAAGGAATTTTACAATATTTTTTCTTGTTTATGAATTTAAGATTTTCAGATTGCAATAGTTCGAGATTGAAAGAATTTAAGTGTTTGAAACTTTTAAGATTCTGAGATTTTAAGATTTTGAGAATTTAGGAATTTCATATTTTAAGTTTTGAACATCTGAAGATTCAAAGACATGAGGGTTTTAAGAAGTCAAGATTCGACGACTTTAGGATGTTTATATTTTCAGGTTGTAAGATTCTAACTTCTAAGGTTGTAATCTTAAGATCTTAAGGTTTCAAGATTTCAATAATTCAAGATTAAGAGTTTAAGGAATTTAAAATATAGCCCGGATTGAAGGAAGGTAATATTTTAATAATTTAAGATTTTCAGATTTCAATTGTTCGAGGTTTAAAGAATTTAAGTTTTAAAGCTTTTTAAGATTCTGAGATTTTGAGAGTGTAAGACTTTAGGAATTTCATATTTTAAGAGTTTAAGATCTCAAGATTCTAAGACATAAGGTTTTTAAGATTTGAAGATTCGAAGACTTTAGGAAGTTTTTATATTTTTAGATTTTAAGATTCTAAGTTCTACCATTTTAAGATCTTGAGATTCCAAGATTGATTGTTAGATATCAATTTAAGATTTTGAGAATCTGAGACTTTAGGATTTTGAGATTTCAATCCAGGCCATTTTCCATCCATTTCCATCCACTTTAGATTTTAAGATTTTCAGGTTGCACGTTTTCGGCAAAATTGGCCCGACTTGGGGGAACAACATCCCCAGCATCCCCCGCATCGCCGGCATGCATAACATCATCCGCATCATCCGGGATGATGCTGGCAATGCTGGGGGTGTTGTCCAGTATTAGGCACCCCCTAAAAATGTTCGTTTTTGGGCGCTGCGGGGAGATGCTACAAAAATCGCCTAAACCAATCCGCGAATCCTTCGCCCCTCATAAGGAAGGCCCAGCCAAAAACGTATGTACATGGTCCGCTCATGGTCGGCGGCATGGGGCGCGCGGCCTTATACCTGAAGGTAAGCCCTAACGGGCTTTGGCCTGCGGCCCGATCACGTCCGGTGGCCGGATTTACACGCTGACGCGACACAGCCGGCCACCGGGCACCTTGCCCTGCTCGTTCTGTCACTTCCCTTTCCTGTAAGTCCGATTAGTAGATGTTAAGATTTTCAGATTCTAAGGGTCTCAGATTTGAAGACTTTTGGAATTTAAGGCTTCAATGGTTTAAGAATTAAGGTTTTAAGATTCAAAGACTTAAGGTGTTTGAAGGTTATAACAGCCAGGCCATTGCCCAGCCATTTTCCATCCATTATCAGATTTCGAAGGCTTTAAGATTTTATTTTTGGTGATATTTTCAGATTTGGCGATTTCGGAATTTAAGATTTTAAGATCTTAAGATAAGATCAAGATTTCCAAAATGAAGATCAAGAGTTTAAAATTAGAATAAAGCCGGATTGAAGGAATTTTATTATATTTTACTTGTTTATGAAGTTAAGATTTTCAGATTGCAATAGTTCGAGATTTAAAGAATTTAAGTTTTGAAAGCTTTTCAGATTCTGAGATTTTAAGACTTTGAGAATTTAGGAAGTTCATATTTTTAGATTTTAACATCTGAAGATTCAAAGATATTCGGGTTTTAAGAAGTCAAGATTCGAAGACTTTAGGATGTTTATATTTTCAGATTGTAAGATTCGATCTTCTAAGGTTGTAAGTTTAAGATCTTGAGGTTTCAACATTTCCAAATTTCAATAGTAAGAGTTTAAGACTGTAGGAATTTCATATTTTAAGAGTTTAAGATCGCAAGATTCTAAGACATAAGGGTTTTAAGATTTCAAGATTCGAAGACTTTAGGATGTTTTTATATTTTCAGATTTTAAGATTCTTAGTTCGAAGATTTTAAGATCTCGAGATTCTAAGATTGATTGTTAGATTTTAATTTAAGATTTTAAGAATCTAAGACTTTAGGATTTTGAGATTTCAATCCAGGCCATTTTCCATCCATTTTCCATCCACTTTAAGATTTTAAGATTTTCAGGTTGCACGTTTTCGGCAAAGTTGGCCCGACTTAGGGGACAACATCCCCAGCATCCCCCGAGACTTTAGGAGGGTTTTATATTTTCAGATTTTAAGATTCTAAGTTCGAAGATTTTAAGATCTCGAGATTTTAAGAATCTAAGACTTTAGGATTTTGAGATTTCAATCCAGGCCACTTTCCATCCATTTTCCATCCACTTTAAGATTTTACGATTTGCAGGTTGCACGTTTTCGGCAAAGTTGGCCCGACTTAGGGGACAACATCCCCAGCATCCCCCGAGACTTTAGGATGTTTTTATATTTTCAGATTTTAAGCTTTAGGATTTTGGGATTTCAATCCAGGAAAATAATTTCCTTCCACTTTAAGATTTTAAGATTTTCAGGTTGCACGTTTTCGGCAAAGTTGGCCCGACTTAGGGGACAACATCCCCAGCATCCCCCGAGACTTTAGGATGTTTTTATATTTTCAGATTTTAAGATTCTAAGTTCAAAGATTTTAAGATCTCGAGATTCTAAGATTGATTGTTAGATTTTAATTTAAGATT